TGTAACACCCGTGAACCAAAAAGGAGATTTTTTTAGGCATGTGTGTCGATCCACGGGTAAAATCAGACTGACGGTTTCGATTTCTGATTTGGGCCGGTTTAGGAAACCCTAGGGTTTCGTTATAAAAGCGTGGGAAACGCGTTTTCTCTTTTCTTTTGGCCGAAATCAGAAGAGGTTGAGAGAGGAAAGAGAGTGTTTATGTGAGGATTGTGAGAGAAGTGATTTCCTTGAGAGAAAATCAATTCTGCTCGGGTTTTTGGAAGAGACGATCGGCTAGGAAGCTTGAATCGGATCAAGGTGAAACTTTGAGGGTAAGTTCTCAACTCTCTAATCTTGATTGAGGAGGAAATAGTTTGTAAATCGGATGTGTATTCTGAGAGTTATCGTTCTTTTCCTGAGAGAGGTTTCTGCAGTTTCGTGTCTGCGATCAGTCCGCTTCGAGGGAGGATTCCCGTCGAACCAGAAAGAATCAGGAGACRATCCATATKCCGTTGGAAATACCTCGCTGTCTAGTTTCTAGATCAGGGTTCTGGTCCTATTTCGGAGGTAATCTCTGTTCTCTGTGTTCTTTCGATTTCAGGGTGTCGTTTCTGAAATCTCTGTTTTTCCAGTTCCGATCAGCAAGATTGCGGGCTGTTTTTCCATTGAATCTTAGGGACAAAGAGGACGATCTACATACCGTTGTGTAGATTTCTCTGTCTAGTTTTCAGAACAGTTTTCCGATTCTGTTTCGGAGCTGTGGTTGATGAGATAATTGATTCCGAAATCAAGGTGAGTGCGCGACCATAGACCCTCGGATTAGGATATGATGGAATATGATTGATTGCTGTTGTTCCTGGTTGTATTCGTGTTTGGATGTTGAATTTTGTGCAGGAGATCGATGGAAACGCGTCTGGAATCGATCCATGGGAGGATATGATCGATTCTGGTTTTCTGCATTTTCTAGGCTCCGTGTCGAGCGACACACGGTGTTTGTGTTGAGTGACACAGAGTGTTTGTGTCGATCGACACGCATTTCTGATYGCCGTCAGTTTGACGTATTGATCGTTGTGTTTTGCGTGTTGTTTGATAACCCTGGTATTGTATCTATGCTATGACTGAGTACA